TTTTTATTAATTTTAGTTTCTGAATTTAAGCTATTTAATGAAAACAAAATTTATTAACAAAAATTAAAAATATATATTTTTACATAATGGCAGCGTGTGCGTTTAATAATGTCGCTAAATGAATAATTTAGTGGTGTTTGTATAATAAAAGGTCACTAAAAGTAGCGACACTCTTACCAATAAATGTCGCTAGTTAAACGGTATTTTTATACAAACGCCACCAAAGCAATAACGTTTTTTCATAAAAATGCCACTAAATTAATGGCGTCTCAAAGATACAAATGCTGCTAATATAGAGACGTTTTTAGATAAAAACACCTTTAAAGTAGCGATGTTCAGTTACAAATGCTACCAAAGCAATAACGTTTTTCTCATAAAAACTCCACTAAATTAACGGCATCTCAAAGAAAAAACGTCATTAATATAGAAGTATTTTCAGATACAAATGCTTCAAAAATAGCGACATTTTCAGTTACAAATGGTATCAAAGCAATGTCGTTTTTCTCATAAAAAATACCACTAATTTAGCGGCGTCTCAAAGATACAAATGCTACTAAAATGATGGTATTTCAGATATAAACGCCGGTAATATTGAGGCGTTTTTTCAAAAACATCACTATTTTTTGTGACGCGTGCATAGCTTGAGTAACGTTTTTCGCAAACCCCGTAAATTTTTTAATGGCATTTATAAACGTTGCTAAATGTTAAAAAAGAAACGTCACAAAAACCTAAACCCTTGTAGTGAACATACAAGGTTACATAATCAAAATTGCTTATGTGAATGTTTAGGTGGATAATCTCTTTTAATGACACATAAGATAATATTTATATTATTTTATTTATCAAATAAAATTTTTTAATAAATTATTTAAATTGAATAGTTTGGATAATTATTTAAATTGAAATCAATATCTATCTAAAATTGAAATTTTTGCATAAGATTTGAATTCAAATATATTAAATCATAATTTATCTTTTCCTTTTAAAATTAATGGCAGTTCAAAATATATATACTTAATAAAATTTTATTTTATGTCAAATAAGTCTATTTAATAAATTATTTAAATTTAATGTTTTTAGATAATTGTTTAAATTCAAATCAAAATCTATCAAAATTAAAAATTATTTAATAGATTATTTATATTTAATACTTTTAGATAAATTAATGAATTATCGATTAGAAAGCATGTGTTTTTAAAGTAATAAAAGCTTACATCTTTATATGAAAATATGAGACATTTGAATATTGATAAAAAAGTTATATAAAAATATGTTTTCGCTTTGAAAACAAATATAATGTTTTATTTATGTTCTAATTCAAATATCTTTATATTATATATTTGGTTAATTTATTTGTTTTTCTTTAGTCCATAACTTTTTTTAATTTTATTGAGATTGATTATAATTAACTTTTTGTATTATATAATTTTTTGTTTTATTCATTTCTTCAATGTTTTTATTCTCTGTTTATTTATTAATATATGTGTTTTCATTATTGTATATATTTAATAATGACAAATTAATACGTAAATTTATATTCTTTATTTTCTTTTGCTATACTTTTTATTATTAAATATATTTGTCTACAGTGGATGATATGAGAAGAATGACGATCACTGCCATGTCTAACTCATAAAAAATACTATCAAATATGTTAAAAATGATTGAAAATAAAAAAAAATTTCAAAAAAAGTTTTTAAGCATAATATAAAGAATTATTGTTTTTTTTTATCTGAAAATAATTTTATTTTGTTGACATATATAAAAATAATTGTTAGTCTAATATATTCGTATAATAATTACATAAAGTATATTAAAAATAAGAACTAATAAAAATAAATGATTAAAATAAAATTAAGAATTGTGATTTGTTGTTCAATCAAATATATATATATATAGACCACCTAATCAACATTATGATAAAAACGATTATTAATTTTAACTATTGAATTATTGATTCTTGATTTTTTATCAAAAAAGAAAAAAATGATACTAAAATTTTTAGTATTTAGCAAAAAAATTGAAAAAAAAAATTTTAATAAAAAAATTGTTTTTATAATTCTTGAAAATTTACCAAAGTTTAAACTTTTTTAGATGAACAAGATCATTTATAATATATTAAGTATAAATTATCATTTAATTGTAACTTAATATTTATAAATAATGATTATATATTAAATAAATATTTAAAAAATAAATTTAAAATTATAAAAAATTTAATAAAAAATTTCGTACATTGTATGGGTTAAAAAAGCTAGTTATTATTATATAAGGACAAGAAAGTCGACAATCTTTTGAATGCATGGTGAAGTTATTGCCTAGTGGCATAATCTCCGGGCAATCCTAGTCGTCCAAACTGTTAGGCCACCAATCTGATTGGTCCTGGTGTTTGGTTTGGAACCGTCCTTGATCATCATTTTCGTCACCCTGCTGTCACCCTTCTTTTCTTTTCTTTCTTATCTCTATTTTATCTTTACTATTTTTATAATCGTACGATACCTCTAGATTATGCCAAGCATTTTTCCTTTTTTTTAGTTTTCTTTTTTTTTTTTGCTTTTTAAATATTTTTTATTTTTCTAATTTTTTAAAGTTTAATCAATAAATAAATAGTTTTTATGATTTAACTTATTTCAGGTGAGATTCATTTTATACTAATTTTTTAGATTTATTTTTTGTTATTTTTTAATAAATACTTTTTAAGATTTTAATTCTTTCTGTATTAAACTCATTTGAAATCGACAGTATGCAACAAATTTACATTTTTTATTAATTTTTTATATATTTAATAAATATTTTAAAAATTTTTTATCCACTTTCATTTTTTTTGTTTAAAAACCTTTAACGAGGAAGTTTTGCTTTTTTTTTTTATTTTTAATTTTTATATATTTACTAAATATCTTTTTAAAATTTTAAATTCTTTTTTGTTTTATCAACTTGATGCCAATTGTATATCATTTATCAAGTTATTTTTTCTTTTTTATTGTTTTTTCTGTTTACTTTTTCTTTCTTTTTCCTTTTTTAAATAATTATTTTTTATAATATTTCTTACCATTATTACAAAAATATCCCTCATTCATAATTAACCAACTATAATTAAAAATAATCACCTTTAAAATTATTATATTGTCCCTGCTCTCATAATTAGTCAAAATTACAAATATCTCTCCTAATAAAATTGACCAAAATTATTAGTCCTTATAATATTTGGTCAAAATTAATATAATGGCCCACCCATCTTAATCACGAAATGACATATGGCATTTAGTTTGAAATTTATTATAATTTTTTATTAAATTACATACTAAAATTTATCGAAATATAAAATTAATTACATATTAAAATACTAAATAACTTTATCATTGTTTTATGAAAATTATATAAAACTTAATTACATATTAAATTACTATAATAAAATAAATCTATACGTTAAAAGTAATATCATAAAGAAATTACTATAATGTCTTTTTAATTAATTGTTAAATAGATGGCACATGTCCAAATTTATTATAATATCTCTCTTTTTATAATTAGTCAAAATTACTATAATATTTTCTTATTATAATTACAAAAATAACATTTCTAACATAATTAGTCAAAATTACAAAAAATACTTTCCTATTATAATTGGATATAATTACTATAATATCTCGTTTACTATAATTATGAAAATGTCATTTTTATTATAATTTATCAAAATTATGATAATATTTTGATTAAATTACATATTAAATTTTAATAAGATATAAAATTAACTATATATGAAATTATTAAAATATCCTTACCATTGCTTCATGAAAAGACATGTGACATTTTATGAAAATTACTCTAATACATCTATTAAATTAATTACATAAGACTTAACTATATATTAAATTACCATAAATTTAAACAACATATTAAAAGTAATTTTTAATGAAAATTACTATAAAAATATATTTATTATTTTAACATAAATAATAAATGTATTTTTTATAAAAATAAGAATAAATATATATGAAAAATAAAATTTGACAAAGGCAAAAATCTAGTTTAAATTAAAACCTTCGAACTTTGGAAAACATATATATATATATATATATATATTCCTCTCCATGACCAACAATAATCAACAAGAATTGACAAGGAAATTGGGAAAGAACAAACTGGAAAGAAATTGGCCCTGGCCTGCTAGAAAATTTTCCACCCTTGAGTTGTGGCAGCCCTGTCCATTGAAAACATTGCATAGGCATGCATGTTCTACGGCTTTTCACAACTGCTTATGGAGAGTGCATTGGACTAATTCCAATGAGAATGGGACAACAAAAGTATTTTGCTTCTGTTTACGTCAGCATCGTGTTTCATTTCAACCACTTCTAAGTTCTAACCTTCATCCAACGCCCACCTGGAAATCCTAAAATAACAAATATAGTAGTAGCAAATGCATTTGATTTAATAATTGATTTATATATAACTTAAAAAAATTGAATTTGAATTGATACGATGATCGGTCTTGGTTATAAGATGTGTTTAACTCTAAGTTTAAGCATAAATAAAAATGGTTATTTGGTTTCAATTTGCTCCTATTATAATCAATAGATAATTAATTAAAGGAGAACAAGAGTAGACGGTCCAAAAGATATAAAAATGTAGTAGTATTAATGTTTTAATTATGGTACATGTGGCTTGAATTTATTATTGGATGAGCAAGATGATTTTATCACAAAATCATTTTTTTTAGACAATGATGGTTCGATTTAACATTTTATCAGATATTTTGGAATCGATTCTCCAAAAATATTTTTCTCTTTAAAATTTAAATATAACATTTCGATCTTTTCCTATTAATTTTTAAAATGAACAGTGGAGATCAATGGATGTGGATGGAAACAGCAGTTGTGATCATGATCATCATACTCAGATGTAGGAACATGCAAAAGCATTGGAAAATAAAACACTGTATATATATAAACATAAATAGGCTCTGTGGCTTTGCATAAGAAATAAAACCATCATCGCCACAGCCCACAAGCCTCCATAGTCTCCCTTTACATTGGCCACCTCTCGACACTATCATCACTTCTGTCGGCCAATTTCCTTCCCATTTCCCCTCTCTCCCACACCCCCTCATAAGTCATCATCAATCTCAACCAAAACCAAAGCCTCCCCTAATTTTTTCTTTCCTTTGCGTCCATCAAACTCATCACTTTCCTGATATCAATATCCTACTCTCCGATCTAACTGATCATCTTCCTTTTTCTTTTGTTGTGCAACATGAAACACCATCAAGAACTCGCAACCCTTCAAAGGAGCAGCAGCTACAACAATTACAACAACAAATCAAGTACCAGAAATAAGATCAACCCATCAAACTTTCCTAGATCAACTTCACTCTCAATCCCTGTAACCGAAGAATTTTCAGACAAACTCCTTGTTCCTAGAAGCTTCTCATCAGCTCCACGTTCTTCCATACAACGTTTCCATAATGTTAATTCCAGGTTCTGTAACCTCCTTCGTTCGCTTCTCAAAATAATAGCTTTTCCCAATATAATCCCCACCACTTGCAAATGGCTGACCCTCCCAACCCACTTCTCTATAACCCCTTCCCTTGGCCGCAAAGTAACCGGAACCCTCTTCGGCCACCGCCGTGGTCACGTCAGCTTCGCCGTCCAGAATGATCCCCGGTCCGAACCGGTTTTGCTCCTCGAACTAGCCATGTCAACGTCTAGTTTAGTCAAAGAAATGTCATCGGGTCTGGTCCGGATTGCGCTCGAGTGCGAGAAGGTTCCAAGCCGATCGGCGGTCCAACCGAATCGAACCGGGAGGCTGTTCCATGAACCTATGTGGACTATGTATTGTAACGGGAGGAAGAGTGGATATGCGGTAACGCGCACGTGCACCGAATCGGATTGGCACGTGCTGAGCACCTTGAAAAGCGTGTCGGTGGGTGCTGGGGTTATACCGGTGGTGGAAGATGAACGGAAAAATGGTGGAAGTGAAGGTGAGTTGTTGTATATGAGGGCTAAGTTTGAACGAGTCGTGGGGAGTCGGGACTCAGAAGCGTTTTACATGATAAACCCTGATAACAATGGAGGCCCTGAACTCAGCATTTTTCTTCTTAGAATATGAAATATTATAGATTCATCAAGAAATAAACGTGATATAAAAATCATCTATTGTCGTGGTCATGGGTTTTTTTTTTTAGGTATTTTTCTAGTTCGAATTGCTTGTTTAGTGACTTGTACCATGTCTTTTTTTTTTTTTTTTTTTTTGTATGATGGAAACTTGTATTACTATGTGCACTGTACATGATTTTTGGCTTGTTATTAATGTTAGAAAAATTCGACCTCCCACGTGAAAAAAGAAGGGAGCCGGGAACGAATTCCTTGTGTAAATTAATTATGATTTGATTTAAAGAGAAAAATATAATCTTTGACATACATGATTATCGCATGCGTGCACGGCGATTCTAAATATTCCATTTCATGAAAATGATCGAAATGCTCGTTGATTTTTATTTAAAAGTATGGAGATTTCTTACATTAGAGTATTTGATTTAATATTATAAATATATTTGTGTATCTGAACGTCCTCTTATTTAAAGGATTGAATTTGAAGAATTTTTTTATTTTTAAGAGAAAAAACCATAGATATTTAACAGGCTTTACTGCTCTTATCGTCTTGATGTTTTTGTTTAATGATGCATATGCATGTATTTAAGTCTTTAAATTATTCAAAAAATAATTGAGTAAATTACATAATTGTGAACACTTAATTTTATTTAAATTATTTGAATCAGGTTTCTATTCAAATTTATTTGAACATCTCAATTGAATATATTTTAATTATTTAAAACCAGAGAGAAGACCCACGCAATGTTATGGGTTTGTTTTAATTATATTAATAAAGTTGTTAGCTATTAAAATGAAATATCAAAATAAAGATAATTGCATCAAATTAAAGCTAAAGTTTTAAATTATTCTATAAGTTTGATGTTAGAATAGTTGAAATATAAGTAAAAATTATATAAATAGAGTGCAAATACTTATAATTTTTGAGTAGATACAAAATAAATTTCAAACAGTCAAAGACGATAAATTTTAAATTTTTTAAATTAAAAAATAAGAAACCATCAAACAAAATTAGATTTCAAGTTAATTAGTGATAAAAATAAGTAATATATATTAAATCATCACAGCTACAAAATCTAACACAAATTAGTTAATAAAATTTCAATTCAATAAAATCAACACAAAAAGCTGTAAAGTATGTAAACAAATAACAAAAATTTTAAAGTAAAAATTAAATGTGCCACATTCAAATTATTCAAACAGATACTTTTTCAAACCTTTTAATTTTAACATTCTCTATTAATATGATCATTTATAATTAAAACTAAATAATATTCATTCCATGAATCCAAGTTTATTCCATGTTTAATTTTGATTGGGGACATGTAGCTCCTAAACAAAATCACATGGAATTTGTCTAATAACTACATTCGCATCAGGTGTTAAATCCAAATATTTCCCAAAACTAAATTTCATGAAAAAAGACTTGTGAAAAATCCTTCTTTAACTTGGAGGAGCATATGGGAGATGTACTGGAGTAAAAAGTGAAATGAAGGGTTCATAATGGCAAGTCAATCCCAAATTATATAGTAAGATAAATGGTTGTGTAAGGCGTATTTTGTGTCTCAATTCTGAGAGGTTAGTGAGATGAAAATGCTCTATTGCATGGTCTTATAAATAAAACTATAATGCAATGAATATGAGATCTTTTTCATGATTTGCTCAAGGCAAAAGAAGCATGTGCAATTAGTGCCATTACCAGTTACCAAAAAAGTATTTATATTTGCACCCAAAAAAATATTTTATATACCCCATTACTAAATATGCCCCACTTTTAAAGCGTAAAATCTAATTTTTACTCATTACACCCATAAACAAAAAATATATTTTTCGTAAACACCTCTCACACCTATTTTTACTGATTACACCCATAAACAATTAGCATAATTTCATCACTCATGACAAATAATGAGATAAGCAATTTCTAAGCAGTAAGGTGAGAATAATTAAGTAAGCAAATATAATATGCTTTATCCAATCAACTAAGTTTTGAATTACCTTCGTTATGTAAGCCTTTGACCATTCCTCCCACATATCAGGTGGTCATTGTCCACCCTATGATTCAAATATTTGTATGCAATGTGCTCCAAACTCTACTTGGTAAATAATGTATTTAGATGTTGCTTTTGTTAAATGAGAAAGAAAAGCCTTTAATAAATTTGGTGTTGTGTGGCACATACTCATTATGGCTGTATAATTGTAGGTTGTACCTCTCTTTATAATATATGTGGCAATTGTCCAAGGAGCTCCAACAAAACCCAACACTACAACATGACCTCCAACTTACATAAAAAATAACTTATAATTAAAAAAAAAAGAAAATATTTCTTTTATAAAAGTTTACAAAAAATTAGTAATCAGAACCTTATATATAATGCATGCAATGATAAGGGAGAATCACCTCATAATGCAAAATCTTAAGGGATTCCCTAACAAAATGTAATTTCTCCAAGTCAATTGGATGCAATGCCTTCAAGCCATCCTTAGAGTGAATCGGTGACTGAATAATAGGGCCCTTTACTTTTTCAATGTCAAATGGGACACGAAATGCAAGCAGTAGAATAAGTATGCTAGAGAAAATTATCTTTCCATCAGGATGGAAAACTTCCCAAGGTTGTAAACAAATTTCCATAATAAGACTAGTTATCTTTAACCTCTCTCTGAATGATGGGTGTTTATCTACAAGCTTTCTGTAAACAACCATATGCCTTCTTACTTGCTACATCATCCAAGCTGAAAGCTGACTTATAGGCTTTGATCTGGTAGCTTTAACCAATAATGGATCTAAATAAAAGATGAATGGAGATGAAAGTATCATTAAAGCCCAAACACATGCATGTTTTTGCCATCACTGACATACCAACATAAATACAAAATTGCCTTTCCACTATCAAGGAAATTAATTGCCAAATTCATGCAGATTAGACATAAAGATCCCAAATTTTATTCATTATGTACTTTACAGCCTTGGGAGATCTGTGCTTTTATATATTTTCATTGATTATATACCAACCCTTAGTAAATATTTAAAAAATAAAAAACTAATTTCTCACCTTAAGAGTACCATCGATGTACAAATCTTTTAGTGTTACATCCAATTTAACAATTACATCATCGCCCTTCACAAGTCTCTCTTCTTTTTCTTTTGCTTGGCCTCCACCAAAAAAACCTAAAGAAAAGCTCCATCTTATTAGCAATAATAGGTAGTTGAATTCAATATATCATAACTAAAAGTGAAAAATTCCTAAAAAATGATGGCTAGTCACATTTAAACTAAAAGAATGTAGGATTAGAAAGACGATTCTTAGATGTTAAAATGATTATTAGTGCATGTTATCCCAAATATAAGTCAATAACTAACATTTTATTGATGATTTCATACATAATCACCAATAAAGTAAAGTTTTAACTTCAACTATAAAAGGAACTTAAAGGTGGGTAGCATTGGCATACTTAAGATAAACCTAAGATGTATTAATAGACTCCTAAATTATGCATACAATGCCAACACGTAACTTACTACAGCATTTCAATTACTACTATATTACTATCAAGATAATTAAACGTGATGCGATATTAATAAAAAAAGTAAATTTTCAACATCTTATGTGTTGAAGATGTCTTGAATATTAACCCCATTCATCTTTTGCCTTCATTGGCAACATGCTATTTCAAGCCCTCTTTTTATACCTATCATATAATGCCCTCTTTTTGTTATTCAACAAGACCTTATATGCTAATCATTCATTAAATAGATTAATCATCTAAGAAAAAAAAATCAATTCCATCAGAAATTATTTTTCATAAAAGAAAAAATTAAATAAAAAATGAGATATTTTACCATTGTTAAGCTCAGCAAATCGTTTATTGCCTCTTCATTGCTAGGGTACTTATAAGATGATACTTCAATGTCAGCTTCTTATACGCTCTTTTGATCTATTTATCTTATGCCCCTTTCAGCATTTGCAATATCTCGTAATAACTCTTACTACATCAACACAATATCGCCATAAAATTTCTTGCATGTATAAATGCCATTTGTTAAAAAAAAAAAGAGAAAGAAAGAGAAAGAGATACTGAGAGAAATAGGTGTGTAGCCTGTAATGGTGATGATCGCGTAAGACAAAGCGTGTAATAAAAAAAGTAGCTTTGCTTTTGAAAGTGCCATGGAATTAAGATCAGGACAAAAACTGGATCTCTCCAGAACTTTATGACAGTTGAAAAATTCTTCTTAGATTTTTTATTACAAAACAAAAAATACAAATAATTTTTTTTCAAAGAGATTAGAAGAGAAAGGTTTTTCTCCTGGTCTCAAATCTATGGACCAAAAAACATTCTCGATAAAAAAAAAATTGAGCATCCAAAATCAAAAAAAAAAAACCTTGTATAAAAAATAAGGTAACCCAAAGATAAAAGCAAATACTTAGAAAAATAACCTTCAACACACACATATGAAAAACTCCATCAACACATACAAAGAAACCGATGCATGAAATTAGAAACCATATGTTAGAAACAAATAGTGTTATAACATGTGAGTCCGAGAATTCGATCATTGAATGTGAAATAAGAAGAATCGTCATTAGTATTATTATTATTATTATTTTGGTTTGGTATGGTTGGCTTAATTAAGTCATCATTTCTAAAGAAATCTTAAGTTCCAGTAAAGTTCCTTAAAAAGAATAGATTTGTTCTATGTTTTAGAATTGGGTTCAAAAGTACGATTATGCATAGAGAATGATTAGCATCCCACATTATCTGTCTATGGATGACACCAATTAATCTTATATTATCCTAAAATAGTCTTTTATTAAATGGCCTTTTACGTTTAATTTAATTTCATCTTTTAAATATTGAAAACTTTCTTAGAGTTTATCCATTATTTTGGTAGAATCCTTAACAAAATTTTCCTCAATAGTATTTAAAAATTTTGAAGAAACTCTATTGTCGAATTGAATTTTATGAAAAACAATTATCATTGAATTCTAATTTTTGTTTTCTTTTATCTCATTTCATTTTTATTTTTTATTCATATTTTTTATATCATTAATTTAATATTGACAAATTTTTTTGTTTAGTTTTCTCTAATGTTCTAGTAGAATCTCCAAAAAATTTTTCTTACCTCATGAGCTTTCAAAGAATCCAATCATTATTTTGAAGAGGCTCCATTGTAAAATTTGTTTAAAAGTTTTATGAAAAATTTAATTTCTAATTTTTTTTATTTTTTTTACTATTT